CCTAAATATTCTACGAAGATCTTTATCGGTCAAACCGCATAACAACATACGTTGTTCCCTTTGTCATCGGTATGGTACTTGCCCGAGATTCGATCATCGGTATCTCAATACCTAGTTCAATCTCGTTGCCGGCAAGTCTCTTTTCTCGTTCCGTAATACATCATCCCGCAACTAACTCATTAGTTACAATGCTTGCAAGGCTTATAGTGATGGGCATTACCGAGTGGGCCCATAGATACCTCTCCGACGATCGGAGTGACAAATCCTAATCTCGAAATACGCCAACTCAACAAGTACCTTCGGAGACACCTGTAGAGCATCTTTATAATCACCCAGTTATGTTGTGGCATTTGGTAGCACACAAAGTGTTCCTCCAGTAAACGGGAGTTACATAATCTCATAGTCATAGGAACATGTATAAGTCATGAAGAAAGCAATAGCAACATACTAAACGATCAAGTGCTAAGCTAACGGAATGGGTCAAGTCAATCACATCATTCTCTAATGATGTGATCCCGTTAATCAAATAACAACTCATGTATATGGTTAGGAAACATAACCATCATTGATTTAACGAGCTAGTAAAGTAGAGGCATACTAATGACAATTTGTTTGTCTATGTATTCACACATGTACCAAGTTTCCGGTTAATACAATTCTAGCATGAATAATAAACATTTATCATGATATAAGGAAATAAATAATAACTTTATTATTACCTCTAGGGCATATTTCCTTCAGACGAATCCAAACTGGTATTTCAGACCAATAATTAAGGCGAATTCCAACGCTGTGACCCATTTGGTCCGTGTGTATCTGTTTGGGCCCAAACGAACAGAAACAACGGTCCAATGTAAATACCTTTTTTGGTTCCGTTTTGTGTCTAGTCGGATCCATCTTCTCCTCAAATTTGAGTTAGATTTGGGTCCGAAGCGGACATAGACCGGACGTTCTCCGTGTGCCTTCTCATCTGTGTGTGGCCAGCCTAACCCATATGTCATCTACCCATGCCCCATTCCACCTCTCTCTCCTCGTTTTATCTCACCGCCCACCCACCCACCATGCCCTCCCCCCCTTGAAAGCAAGGCAGCCGCGCCTCCATCGCCCTCATGTACCTTCTCGCCGGAGGGAGCGCACAACCAAACGGACAAAATTTGTGTTCGTTTGGGTCACTGTGTTGGAGTTGGCCCAAGGGCAACCCCAAAACCGGACACTATATCCGTCCGGGTACCTGTGGGGACCGGTACATGGATAGTGAGGTAGGAGTCGGCCATCCAACTGTGACAACATACATTTCAAAAACAAATTTGAACACACTTGATGAATGTTATCAGACACGACGGATTTAAACATAGTTCGGACATAATTTACATAAAACAGACGATATTTTGACCATCTTACTAAAAACTAAAAAGAATAAAATCTAGGAAGCTAACTTGTAGCGGACGACGACCTCGTACGCCCTAGCTGGACGCACCTCCATCGCCATCCGTGTCGTCGCTGTTGTCCTTTCACCGTCCTTCAAGCGGTGAAAGGACGCGGGGTCGTGACAGCCTTGCCCAGTCGCGGCCTGATGCTTGCGGGGAAGTCGTTCTGCTTCCTTCCGTGCCATGCGGGAGGCCTTCGCGGCCAATACCGACCCCGGCCACGGTGCCCTGACGGAGGTGTTGCCGACATTGACGGAGGTGTCGCTTAGCAAACATTCCTCGCCAATCTTGGCGAGCTCCCCGTTGAGGCGGTGGCAGTGCCATGCGGCCGCCTCCGCGGCGGCGACGAACCGGTCAAGAGCCTAGGCCGCTGCCAGATCGAGGATGTTGCGGACCCAGGCCGACGCCTCGTCTGACTTGGCGAACATGGAGCGGCAGGCAGCGTTGCGCCGCTCCTGCCACACCGCCTTGTCCTCGGGGGACATCATGGCCCGCGACGAAGAGGACCCGCCACCATCGAGGTAGTGGAGGATGCGCCCACGTGCCTTTGTGATCACGGACGATGGCTCCTCCTTCATGACCTGGTTGCGTCAGTTGCTGCGTGACAGCGATGCTGGATCATACTTGACGCGGCGGAGAGGCGACACTGGCTCTTGCTTGACACCTCGTGCTTTTTTATTGTGATTGCATATGTTTTTTTTTTGCGGGTTGTGATTGCATATGTTTGCATCTATAATATATATATATGCTAAATCAACATGCATGTCAAAAATGAAGGAGACCGAACATGAGGCGATGCATCAGGTTGGATGACCGACTTGTTGTCCACACATCTAAACATATCCGCGGATGTTTACTGCATAGGTCTTGGTGCAGCGCGGGAGTTGCCCCAATGTGATAGTTTGAGTGCAAAGACGCATATAAAAATGACAATATACTTTGAATATTCCAATGTACTCCCTCCGTCCGGAAATACTTGTTTAATAAATAGATATATCTAGATGTATTTTAGTTCTATATATATTTGTTTGTATCCATTTCTACACAAGTTCTTCCAAACAGAAAGAGTACTGCTTAGGTCGGTCACTGCCAATGCCAGTGTGTAGTATGTACTTGGTCTCAGACCTAACATTCGTGGAAATCTTCTAAACGGCATGCCGGCAACGTGCTGCAAAAAGACGCCGGAGAAAAGGGTCTGAGAAGTAGGCTGCAGCTACACTTCTCTGTGAACCTGAAGCGCAAAGCGACAGGGCAGCCAACTTGCTTGGGGCCAAGACGACGGTAGAGCTCGGACAATTCACACTGCTAATGCGTGTGTTACCATTTTGCACCGCCCTCCCTCGCTCAGTTTGTATTTGCCTAAACCATGACCATACACGCTCGATGTCAACTGATTTTTTTTTTGAAGGAAACAAGGCCAAACTTTATTAATCAACCATAATGCCTGCGACAATAGAAACAGGCTCATAAGCAAGCCATACATGACGCCCTACTTCTAAAGACTCATTATGATTTGGAGGGAGTATGCTATACTTAGCAATGTTGTGAGTTTCAAAACTGTTATTCCATCAATTGTGAACAAAAGAGCAACCCCCGAATGATCCAGCTCGATGCATTTTTTTTCTTTCTAGAATTAACGATATCAGATGTTAGTGTGCAGGGGCTGAACCAGCCCAAGTTGTGAGCTGGGGCAATACATTGACTTTTACATTAAAAATATAGTAAAGTCCTTGGCGACTGTTTTCTTCCATTCGAACAAGCCACCGTTGTGCCGTTGTAAACCTCTCCAACATCGGAGCCAGCCTAAGTTTATTGGTTCGCTTTGCAAATTGCACTATTTTAGTCCAATATGCTTTTGCACCAAACTCTGTAGGTGTACACATCTTATAGTACTCTCTCTATTTGATGTTCCCTCCGTCTGAAAATTCTTGTCATCAAAATGAATAAAAAAAGATGTATCTAGAACTAAATTACATCTAGATACATCATCTTTTATCCATTTTGATGACAAGTATTTTCGGACGGAGGGAGTATATATATATGTATGCTATAAAAATTATACTATTGAAAACTCCTTTTAAATATGAATTTGACAGTATACTTCATGTGACATATATCTCTTACATTATTAATATTATCGATGGTCAAATGTAAAACTCAAAATACGTATTAGGACACACACACACACACACATATATATATATATATATATATATATGTCAATATTTAAAAGGAGTTTTCAATAGTATAATTTTTATAGCATACATTTCATCTATTGTTGATCATATCGATGGTCAAATCAAATCTTGACATATGTATTAGGCCAATGTGTTTGGATGGAGGGCATACCACTATGCATTGCATATCCATGATCTATTACAAAAAGAAAGGATTGAACAAAATAAATGCATTGCAATGTAGGCTGACTGCCTGACTACAAGAAAGATGTAAAACTCGGGGACTTTCCAACATTTCCTCCAACAAAGAGGAAGGAGGTCAAAACAAATCCCGAAACGCATAAATAAACCGGAGGCGCACCCGCCTTCCTCCCGTCCGTCACGGCCACCTCCCCGTCCACGGCTCCACCTCCGCGCTCACACCTCCCTTCCCTGCCCCCTCCCGCCCGCCCAAACCCGAGATCTCGCAACGCCACCCGCCGTCCCGCCCACGCAAGCACTCGCGCGCCTGCCGGGAGCGTTGCCGAAGCAACCCGGCGGCGCCGAGCCCAGCGGACAGGGCCAGATTCCCGGTGCTCCGGCGGGGCTAGATCTGTGAGATCCCGCCCGCCGATCCCAACTCCCCCGAGGTACAGTCGAAGGCACGAGTTCTTCTGATATCTTCATTGTCCTCCTCATTTCTGCGATGCTGGAACTTGTTTAGTGTACCTTGTGATCCAGTGGTGTAGGTAGGTAGCAGCACGCGGTTGCTCTGCACCTGATAATGACTTAGTAGCTATGCTGCATGTTTTTTTAGGAGTTTTGTGATCTGTCATGGGTTAGCTAGCTAGTTTCTCATGGGGGATCATATCGGGCTTTGGAAGTTAGTACGTGTTTTTATGTTCACGGCCAGTCGGCCATGCTATTTTTGTTAAATTTCATTTCTGCTCTGATATACGTGAATCTGCGGAATGTTGTGAATTTCGACGGAAAGACTAACTAATATCACCTCTGTTCCGAATTATAAGGCGTTTTGAATATTTCAATATGGACTACATACGGACTGAAATGAGTGAACAAACACACTAAAACATGTCTACATGCATCCGATTCAAACAAATGTTACTCCCTCCGATCCATATTACTTTTCGATTAAATGGTTGTATCTAGACGTATTTCAATGCTAGGTACATCCATTTGAGCGACAAGTAATATGGATTGGAGGGAGTAGAACTTATAAGTTGGAACGGAGGGAGTACTAGTTACTCGGTTTGCAGTGATTAGTTTGCTCATTTTGATTTTTTTTGTCTTGGACACAGGTGTGCGCAGGGAATCCTTACATGTCACGGCTATAGAGTGATATATATCTCTTGCTGGTGCTGTTTGTGGTGCTGCTGGTCCTGGTTGGTTTGAGAAGATGCAGAGGAATGGGGTGATGGAATGCAGTGTCTGCCACTCCAAGGTGGTGGCGGGGACCCCCAGGAGCATATCAAGGGCATACGACAAGCACAAGAGCAAGATATCATCCAAACAGCGCGTGCTCACCTTCCTTCTTGTGTCCGGGGACTGCGTCTTGGTCGGGCTTCAGGTATTTCATTTTCAATATGATAGTTAACTTCATATCCAATCAACACCTGTTTGGATGGGATTGAATGCGTCATATTTTCACTGGAAAATGTAACATGATAATGGGAATCCAAATCCATGTTATGTGCTTCTTCTGATAGAGCATGGTTATGTCTTCTAGTAATTTAAGTTTGCTTGTGCTCTCAATTTGCCGGAGATTTTTTTTTCTGAATTTCCCAAACACGGGTACCATCCGCGGACTTCATGCTATAGTGTTGTCATAAGATTCAGTTGTTGTTTTCCCTTAAAAATGCATTATCATCAATTTGCCAAAGAGATATATTGGCAGATCCGGTAGCGTTCCACCTAGAGTAAATAGTAAATCGGCTAATGGCTACCTGTACATTTTTAATGTGGAGTTCGTACAAACATGTAGTCAATCTGTAGCGTGTATCTGATTGCAGACAATTTGCAATTGTGCTAATAATTTACTTTGCTCTGCAGCCTATCCTAGTCTTTATGTGCAAGGTTGATGGGAAATTTCAGTTCAGTCCCATCAGTGTTAACTTTTTGACGGAAGTTACAAAAGTTTTCTTTGCTATGATAATGCTAATAATTGAGGTTAGTTCTTGTCGGCCTATATCCTTTCCTTACTTGTTATTTGTGTTTCAGTCCTTGTATCTGTATCTGTATACTATCCTGCTATGAACTATCAACTTTTTAGTGCATCGTTGTCAATACTGGCAATGGTAATCAAAGTGTTGTAGAAACTACAATTTTATTTTTTATTAGACCGGCAGTAATGAATTTATGCATGTGTGTGTTCTATTGCGTTGAAGGTGTTACCCCCCTAATGTTGTTGCTTTTCTATTTGACAGTCTAGAAAACAGAAGGTTGGGGAGAAGTCACTTCTGTCAGTTTCGACCTTTGTACAGGTGATTTATCTTTTAGAACATAGAATGCCTTGTACTCTTTTGTTACTGTGCTCAACATGCACAAAATAATTGATGTTACTTCTGCTTCTAATGTTAAACCGCATGTAGAATGTTTCTATTTGTTTTCAATTCCTGGGAACAATTGGTGCTCATCTCTTTTGTTGTTTTTATGCCCAACCGACTTGCTTTCAGTTTTCATGTATCTTATTTATTTATTATAGCTCCGTACCTAGTATGGTAACTAACTGTTTCACCTGTCAATTCCTTTCTTGTATAGGCAGCCCGTAACAATGTACTCTTAGCTATTCCCGCTCTACTATATGCCATCAACAACTACTTAAAGTTTATCATGCAGGTAAATGTTCATTGAACTGGCTGAACTTCCATTCTTCTGTGCAATGTACTCGTATTTTCTCCAGTAAATATTTTGGCACTCCTGATATTTACAAAACCTACAGTTATTTTGATGTAGTTTATCAATTTACATGTACGAGACGATGCATCTTTGATAATTATGTTACAGTGTAATTAAGTCTGTCACGTCTCGAGAAGGAAATTCATTATCACCTTCATTTGGAAGGATCAAACCATACATTTTAATTAATGAATTCAAAAATTCACTTCAAATTTAATATTCAGCCAGCTGGATTCATATCAGTTCTGTTAGTAACTTGTATCAACCAAACAGCAGGATTTTCTTAGTACCAACTTGTACTCTTGTCCTTCGAGGATTTTCTGATAGTTCTTTTAGTTCTGCCTTCTATTTTTCTTTCCTTGTCAGACAAAGGATTACGCTAAAGGCAGAAATCAAAGCCATCATAGTAGGAGTACAGATGATGAACAAATCCTAATTTTCTCATCTACCCATTTTTTTGAATTTTTTCTTGAGTTTGGACATGGAGCCTTTGCTGCATTTATATTATTATATATTAAATCAATGCACACCATGCAATATTTTCTGCTGTACCTTTTGGTATTCCATATGACATTGGTTTTAGTTACAACTATTATATTTTTTTAAATGGCTGGGTGCATCCTAGATGCAGAGGCCGGAAGTGATTCTTCTGTCATGTAAAGTATCTTATTATACTTCGGATGCAGTTATACTTCAACCCCTCGACTGTGAAGATGCTAAGCAACCTGAAGGTACTCATTTTTCATGTATTACCATGTTCTCGAGCTTAGCCATGCAGTGTCTGTGAATACGTGCTTACATCTGTTTGGAAAATGCAAAACTGTTAATATCATACTCGTTTCTACACAATCCAGGTACTCGTCATAGCTGTACTCCTAAAGTTTATAATGCGAAGGAAATTCTCTATAATTCAGGTGAGGCTGGCATTGCAACTATCTATATATCTTTACTAAACTACAGTTGTATACCGATTCATGCTGTTGTGTTCACCTGATAATTTCTCTTCTTTAGGTGTTTCTTAAATAGAAAAGGCATTAATGGCTTAGGATGAATACATTTGATTTATTTCCATTTAATAATCTGTTTGAAATTTTCAAGTCATTAGGCAAGTTGAACTTCTTTTGTCAAAGTTCTGTTCTCCCCCTTTGTTTCCTATATTTCTCATGACCTCTGTAGTACTAATATAAATCAGTTGCTACCAGTGATGGTTGCCATTTTCAGCCGCAATCCTGAATTGGCTAAAAATGAACCAGGGTTAATACTGCAACTTCAAATTAATCAAATATAGGAAGAACTAATGCACACAAGTATGTGTTCTGCAAACGCTGTAATTCAAATGCTTTCAGCAATATTGATAAATAACCCCATTTTTTTCTGATAAATATTAGTGGGAAGCCCTTGCCCTGCTGCTTATTGGAATCAGCGTGAATCAACTACGCTCAATGCCTGAGGGCACCAAAACTTTTGGTCTTCCAGTCACCGCAATTGCATACATATACACACTAATATTTGTAAGTTTCTACTGAACTGTTTGATCTTTATATTTATCTTTTTTGTGTTGCTTCAGATGACTAAACCATTATTGGATCCAGAGTTCATGCATGTATATATATGTATGTGAAATTGTAGGTTACTGTCCCATCGTTTGCCTCTGTCTACAACGAGTATGCATTAAAAAGTCAGTTCGACACAAACATCTATCTTCAGGTAATTCCGACTAAGGATTGTCTTCCAGCTCTTTCAAATAGTAATAGTCCATGTGCATAATGCCGTACTATGTTCTCTGCCTAAAAACAATAAGCGAACATCCTTATCATGTCATTTTTATGCTTACCAGTTTGGTCCACTTGCATTCAACTGTTTAACATAATATGCACTTGCCCAATTCCCACTTTCCTCTGTTTTTTATTCCTTCCATTCATCCTAACTGTTTAACATAATATGCAGAATGTGTTTCTGTATGGTTATGGTGCAATTTTCAATCTCCTTGGTATCCTAGGAACCGTCATATTTCAAGGTAACCATCTTATGTGAAAAGTGAAAACTTGCTTTCATTGGCAACAAATAAGGGTGTTATTCATTGAGACTGTTGTACTATGAAGGTCTATATGTGTGCGGCTAGGAGAATAGGATTCCATACAACACTTGCTGAGTAATTTTTAGGTTTTACAAACTACATAGGTGTGGTACACAAGCTGGGGTTTCTGTTTTACCTGCGAGGTTACAAAGCAGGCAAATAGAATGGCTGTTTAGTGATTGATATGTTGATCAAAATGTTGTGCTGTGAACTATGGTCTATGTGGTTTGAGCATCATTAGGATCTTGCAGAAATATCCTAATTTAGAAAGTCTGGAACTTAAGCCATGTGCTATTGCACATTGTTGTTAACTTACTACATATTTGGACACCAAGGAGTCATTTCATGAATGCCCCATGGCGTCTTGTGTCTTCTTGTGACTATTGGCTATTGCAGCATTAGCTATGTATAATTTAAACTTGGCCCATGTGTTGCAGGGCCAGAGAGTTTTGATATCCTTCGAGGGCATTCAAGGGCCACTTTTTTCCTCATTTGTAACAATGCTGCGCAAGGAATTCTCTCTTCATTCTTCTTTAAATATGCAGGTAAAGGATGATCGCTATTTCATTCTCTTATACTCCCTCCATCCCAAAATAAGTGTCTCAACTTTATACTAACTTTAGTACAAAGTTGTACTAAGTTTGAGACACTTATTTTGGGACGGAGGGAGTACCATATTATTTTTACCTGTCCTTGGCCCTTCGTTCTGAAATCTGCTTTCATAATCTCATATTTCCATCTGATTAACTGAGATCATACTGCAGACACAATTTTGAAGAAGTACTCATCAACAGTGGCCACAATTTTTACTGGTCTAGCATCTGCTGCATTTTTGGGACATACCCTGACTATTAACTTTCTATTAGGCATCTCAATAGTGTTTATCTCAATGCACCAGGTGATTGTTGTTTCTTATTCTTTAGCTTGTTGTGCCAAGTTGGTCCTGACTCTCAACTGAACTTATATAAGAGCTATTTCTGTTCAGTTTTTCTCGCCATTAGCCAAAGTCAAAGATGACAAACCAGCTGGAACTTTAGAGTTGGGAGATGCACAGAAACATAGGTGAATATTTCTCTTGCCTTGTTTTTCTATTCTATATTAATGTTAATATGAAATGAAAGCGTCAACTAGCAACCTTCAAATTTCTAATATCTGGGAGTTGCAGTTGAAGTTCTTGTCTAGTTTCTTCGACATGGTGCTATATTCATACATTAATAAACTGTTTTATTGATTCTCTCTGTTATATTGATGAGCATATTAACTGGTGATGGCATGCATTTGTGTTGTTTAGAAATATTTCCGAACATCTAATCTGATAAAATAAAATCTTCTTGGCAGGTCATCCGATTCTTCTTTTGTAAATATGACTGCTGGTGCTGCTGATGATGTAAGTGCTACATCGTTTGAGTAAATAAAATCTGGGATAACATTCTTCTGTTATATTGACTTATTTCCTATGCTTTTCATTATCTCAGGCAAGCCACATTAGCGATGATAGAAAACCATTGTTGCCAATCTAACACTATATTTGAGGTGAGTCTCATACTTTTGTTTTTCATCTCGAGATAAGTTACTGTTTTACTTTGTAAATCATGCTGTCGCAAAGTTCTGAACCTTGAATACGATAGTGTGGAATGTTAGACCTTTCAGCCTGAGCATTGATAGATGTGGATGACACTAGGAGAGTTGGGACAATTTTCGTTGGTTTATTTCTCACACAATGCCATGCCAACCTCAGGGGTTGGGGATACATATTTATAGGCTGCTAGCCAGCCAAGGCATATGCTAAGATGCTGCTAAGATGCCAGTCTAAGATGCTAGTCTAAGATGCTAGTCTAAGATGCTAACTGACAGTCCTTGATGGTCAAGAACAGAACTCTATCCTAACAGCCAGTCCTTGATGGTCCAGGACTTTATCCTCCTAACTGCCACAAGGACCATGTGCTGCAGCCCCACAAGGACCCTAGTACGCAGACTTATCCATCATTCTCCCCCTAAGTCTTGTACGTCGTCTTGTGGGAGAGTTGAATCATCCCAATCCTGGAGCAAAGTTCGAGGAACTTGACCCTCCCAAGGGGCTTGGTGAGCAGGTCTGCGAGCTGATCCTTGGTGTTGATGTAGCTCGCCTCGATGCTCCCTTCTTCCACACAGCTGCGGATGAAGTGATACCTCAGTCGGATGTGCTTGCTCCGTTCGTGGAACACGGGGTTCTTTGCCAGGGCCAGGGCGGACTTGCTGTCCACCAGGAGCTGCACCGTTCTGGTGTCTTGAACGAGAAGATCACCAAGCAGTCGAGCAAGCCAGAGCGCCTGAGTACAGGCGGTGGAGGCCGCTATGTACTCAGCCTCACAGCTGGACAGGGCCACCACCTGCTGCTTGACTGATTGCCAGCTCACGAGACACTTGCCGAGGAAGAGGAGGATTCCGCTCGTGCTCTTGCTGGTGTCGATGTTGCCGGCGTGGTTGCTGTCGCTGTACCCGACGAAGTGTGCCGCCCCAGGGCACCTAGGGTAATGGAGGCCGTGGTCGAGGGTCCCTGCTATGTAGCGGACGATCCTCTTCACTGCCTGCTGGTGTTCCGACGTTGGTCGCTCCATGAACCGACTGACATAGCCGACGGAGAATGCCAAGTCCGGCCGTGTGTGAGTGAGGTAGCGAAGGCTCCCCACAAGGCGTCGGTACTGCGTAGCATCCACTTCCTCCGTCGTGCTGTCGCGACTTAGTTTCAGCCTCTCCTCCATCGGAGTGAGAGCTGGATGGCAGTCGGTGAGCCCAGCTAGCTCAACAATGCGCTTGGCGTAGGCGGACTGTCGAAGCGCGATCCCGGAGTGGTCCTGGTGCACCTCAATCCTTAGATAGAAGGAGAGGAGCCCCAGGTCACTCATCTGGAACGTGGCCTTCATGTCTTCCTTGAACGCCGCCACCTCTGCATCTTTGGTGCCGGTGATCACCAGGTCGTCAACGTAGACGCCCACCAGCAGGGCATTTCCTCCACTCCCCCGTCGGTAGACGGCAGCCTCATGCGGGCTCTGCTCGAAACCCATCTTCTTCAGCGTGGAGTCCAGCTTGGCGTTCCACGCCCTGGGTGCCTGCCGCAGGCCATAGAGAGCCTTGCGCAGGCGGAGCACCTTGCCCTCCTGGCCGGGAATCGTAAACCCCGGTGGCTGATGCACGTAGACTTCCTCCTTCAAGTCGCCATTGAGGAATGCCGACTTAACGTCCATGTGGTGGACACGCCAACCCTCCTGGGCAGCCAGCGCAAGGAGAAGTCGCACGGACTCCATCCGTGCCACGGGAGCGAAAGCGTCGTCAAAGTCGACTCCTTCCTGCTGCAAGAAGCCTCGGGCCACCAAACGAGCCTTGTGCTTGATGATGGCGCCGGCTCCATCCCTCTTCAGCTTGAACACCCACTTAAGGGTGATTGCGCGGTGACCTCGAGGGAGATTAGCAAGCTCCCAGGTGTGGTTTTGCTCGACCGCATCCATCTCCAACTTCATCACGGCGCGCCATGCCGCGTCTCTCTCGGCCTCTGCAAAGGACCGTGGTTCGCCGTCTTCACACGCGAGCTGTAGCTGCGCCTCCAGGTCACGTGGCACCAGTCCTGGCACCGGCTGGTCGCCGAGCACATTATCCATCGTACGGTACCGCAGCGGTTCGCCTCCATACCATGCGTCGACCCGCTCCTCGTCGTGAGTGAGCGGGGAAGCGAACTTCATCGGGTTGTGCTCTGCGTGAGCTGGTGCTGATGAAGACGAGCCCGGAGTGGCGACCGTCGGGGCTGGAGTATGCGGCGTCGCCGGTTGTGGTGTCGTCGGTGTAGCAGGCGCCGGAGTCGATGTAGTTTTGGGGGCCGGGGTAGACGTGCCCGGTGAAGAGGAGCTGCTTGCTCCCCCAGCTTCCTTGAAGTGAGCGTACTCGACAATGAAGTCGTCATACGTCGGCGTCGAGCCGTCGTCCACCGCCTTGTCCCATTGCCACCCTCGCCCTTCGTTGAACACGACGTCTCGCGCTGTGCGCACACGTTGTGTCTTTGGGTCGAGGATGCGATAGGCCTTTGAGCCCTCCGCGTAGCCGATGAAGACTCCCGGAGTGCTCCTGTCGTCGAGCTTGCCGATGTGGCCGAGCTCCTTGGCGAGCGCAAGGCAGCCAAAGACCCGCAAATGAGAGACCGCCGGCTTCCGCCCATGCCAGGCCTCGTACGGAGTTCTGCCGTCGAGTGCCTTAGTAGGAGAGCGGTTGAGGATGTAGACGGCCGTTAGCACCGCCTCTCCCCAGAAGACAGCCGGCATCCCTCTCTGCTTGAGGAGAGCCCGAGCCATCCCCACAACCGTCTGGTTGCGCCGCTCGACGACGCCGTTTTGCTGCGGGCTGTACGGCGCGGAGTAGTGGCGCTGGATGCCCTCATCGGCGCAGTACGACGCAAATTCAGCCGCCGTGAACTCGCCGCCGTTGTCAGTGCGCAACACGCGCAATTTGCGGCCGCTCTCCGCCTCCACACCAACCTGCGCGCGCCTGATGGCGTCCGCCGCTTCTCCCTTACTGCCGAGGATCATCACCCACATGTAGCGGGAGAGATCGTCGACGAGCAGCAGGAAGTAGCGTCGACCTCCTGGTGTGGCTGTCGTCACCGGGCCGCACAGGTCTCCGTGCACGAGCTCCAGCTTCTCCTTAGCCCGGAAACTCGCCTGTTGGGGAAAGGGGAGTCGTCTCTGCTTTGTCAGTACGCGGATGTCGCAGAACTGCTTCACATGGTCGAGGCATGGCAGGCCTCGCACCATCTCCTTGGCACTTAGACGCTTCAGGGCCTCAAAGTGAAGGTGCCCAAAGCGCTCATGCCACTGCCACGCCTCGTCGTCTCGACGGACAGCGAGACAGACCGGTTGTGCCACCTGCACATCAAGGACGTAGAGTCGATTTTCACCTCTGGGCACCTTGGCGAGAAGGCGACGCTGGCGATCCCAGATGCGTAGGACCCCATGCTCAATCAGCACGCGTGAGCCGTTCTCATCCAGCTGTCCCAAGCTGATGATGGAATTCCTTAGCGCGGGGATGTAGTAGACACCGGTGAGCAGCCGGTGCTCTCCCATCTTGGTGGTGAAGATGACGGAGCCGACGCCCTTTATCGCCACAGCGGAGGCATCCCCGAACTTGACGGAGCCTCGCGCATCGGAGTCGAGCTCGGCGAAGAATTCCCTTCGACCGGTCATGTGGTGGGTGGCGCCGGTGTCGAGGCACCACCCCGTAGCCTTGTCCTTCCCGGAGCCATCGCCGAGAAGAGCGTGTGCTTTTGGCTCATCGAGGTGGATGAAAGCCTTTGCGACTGGAGTCGCCGAGGGTAGCTCAATGCTTGCATGCGCCATGAACAGAGCCGTCTCCTCCTCCTTCGCCTGTGCGACATGAGCCTGGCCTTGTCGTGGTTGCCGACACTCATTGGCCCAATGGCCAAACCGGCCACAGTTGTGGCAACTGTTGTCTTGTGCCGGCCTGGGCTTGCCAGCGGCGCCGTCCTTGGCGCCTCCGCGGGCGTCACCTTCGGCACGTCCTTGTGCCCTGCCCGGGGGGCCTCTTCGCGCCTTACGCTGCTTGCCACGCTTGCGGCCGCCCGTCGAGGAGGAAGGCTCCCCCTTCTTCTTGTCACCAAGGCTGGGATCCCACTGCTCCGAGTTAGGAGCAGCTTCCCGCCGGTGGTGACGGGCCCCGAGGGGGGCTGTGGCTCGTCGGTGTCGACGACCTTGAGTCGACCTATCGCCTCCTCGATCGTCATCGTGGAGAGGTCCAGCAACGACTCGATCGAGCGAGCCATCTGCTTGTACTTCTCGGGAATGCACCGAAAAAGCTTCTCGACAGCTCTCTCCTCGGTGTAGGTGGCATCGCCAAACTTCACCATCTTCTGCAGCAGAGTGTTGAGACGGAGAGCAAAGTCATCAACGTCCTCACCTGGCTTGAAGCCCAGGTTCTCCCACTCCTTACGAAGTGCCTGCAGGGTGGACTTGCGAGCACGGTCGCTGCCGATGCGTGCTGCGGCGATGGCGTCCCAAGCCTCCTTGGCAGTTCGCTTGTTGGAAAGCGAGAACTGCATCTCGGGCGGGACTGCGGCGATGAGGGCGTCCAGCGCCCGTCGATCCTCTAGGTGGTCGACGTTGCTGTCCTGGACTGCCTCCCACATGCGCCGCACCTGGAGCCTGACCTTCATGATCCCGGCCCACTCGCCGTAGTTGGTTTTAGTGAGGGTAGGCCACCCAACACTGGAACCAACATCCCTGACCACAGTCCGGACCTCGTAGAGGCCGCGGTCCTGGTCGTTGCAGCCGCCGTCGCGGTGCGCGCCTCCACCTGGAGCGCGGGCGTGCTCGGCTGCCCACTGCGCCGTCCGCTCCTGCGCCACTTTGGCGCGATCTGCGTCAGCGCCGTCGTCCGCAGGCGCGGAGCTGCTGGAGCTGCCGGGGCTGCCGCGGAGTGCCTTGGCATCCGCCGTAGCCTCACGGGCTGCTTCTGCTGCTGCTGCTGCTTCTACCTCCGCCCTGGCTGCTTCTACCTCCGCTTTGGCTGCTGCCAGCTCCGCTGCAGCCAGCCTCGACACTCTTGCCGCCGCAGCAGCCGCTGCTATAGCCGCTCGCTCACGCTCCTCTGCCACGGCGCGCTCGGCCTCTTGCCGGCGCCGCATGCTCGAGGTAGCCGTGTGCTGAGAGCGACCTGCAGACATGGCTCGCTGCAGGGGGGCTGTTGCGTGAAGAGGAGGCTGAGGAAGACGAGCTGCTGCTCGACAGTCCGGAGGGAGGAAGGTAACCAGAGGCAGACGGAGCAGCTGCTGCTACCGACTTGGGCTGCTCACAGGAAATGCTCAGGGTGCAGGTTAACCTGGCTCTAATACCACTTGTTAGACCTTTCAGCCTGAGCATTGATAGATGTGGATGACACTAGGAGAGTTGGGACAATTTTCGTTGGTTTATTTCTCACACAATGCCATGCCAACCTGAGGGGTTGGGGATACATATTTATAGGCTGCTAGCCAGCCAAGGCATATGCTAAGATGCTGCTAAGATGCCAGTCTAAGATGCTAGTCTAAGATGCTAGTCTAAGATGCTAACTGACAGTCCTTGATGGTCAAGAACAGAACTCTATCCTAACAGCCAGTCCTTGATGGTCCAGGACTTTATCCTCCTAACTGCCACAAGGACCTCCTAACTGCCACAAGGACCATGTGCTGCAGCCCCACAAGGACCCTAGTACGCAGACTTATCCATCATGGAACTGTTCATTTATGTTGGCACACCACTTCGATTGTTTGTCAGACAAAACAACCAATTTGCTGCATCTAGAGTTTAGCCATTGCAATCAGTGTTTTACAGCTTTGCTTACATCGTCAACATGTAGCTATCGTGGTTGGCATCTGTCACGGCAGCCAGTATAGGAAAAGAGTTCAGGGCTGTAACAAGTATTACCTGAACATCCGTTATCCATGGGCCGAACGTAACCTAAAGTGATCCCACCGGCTTACAGCAACCTAATAATTTGTTTTGTTTGGCAACAGAAATAACTTACTTTTGTTTTATTAATTGGTGTTATTTATATTTAGCACACGTAACTACAAATCCTTAACATATGAGGCACCTCATTCTCAAGAGTTTTGATGAACTTGTTCCCCTTTTGTTATGCAGGTAGGTATAGAAGAAAATTATTTTTGCCGCGAACCACAAATATTTGTAGCATGGTAGATTAAACCAAATGCTCTTGTAAACTGTAAAAGGAAAAGAAATATTTATATGTAAGAGGCCATCCTATTCTTTCTTTCTTTTTTGACCCCCAACTTTTTTGGGGGCGACAAATGAGGGGGTGGTACACATTACTTATTCCATACAAATTCACTGATTATATACGATAGTTTTTCTCATGCGCCTTTTGGCTAAACTGGTGTGCTCAATGTTGTATCAACGGTATATCCATATGTACTCGCCATTATTAAATGCTGCATGTCAGATTTCCCTGACGAGCTCAGCGCTCTGTTTATTATGTGCCCACAAATATTTCTTGACGCAAAAACAGAAGAAGAAAAAATAGTACCCCTATCATCTACTCTCTCCATTCCTAAATATTCATCTTTCTAGATATTTCAGCAAGTGACTACATACGGAGCAAAATGAGTGAATCTACACTTTAAAATATGCCTATATGCATCCGTATGTGGTAGTCCGTTTGAAATGTCTAGAAAGACAAATATTTAGGAACGGAGGAAGTATGCTTGTGCTTGTGTTCAAGAAATGAGCATGAATAAATAGAATGCTTCTGTCGACGGGCTACAGGGTTTTCTCGCATGGCAAGAACTGCTACTCAAACATGGCTTGCAAGCTTACGAAGTTCAGATAGCACATAACTTCCAAAAAAGTTACAGTAGTACTAGTACAGGCAACGGCATGCACGGTGATTCGCAGGAAGAACACCCGGCAACGGCAGCAACTTCTCCCCACACGTACACCGGCACGCGCACATCGTCACAAACATCAGACCACGCCCTGCTGGTCCCGCACGACGGCGTAGTTGATCACGCGGGCGATGGTGCCCATGGACGGCCGGTAGGTTGGGTCATACTGGAGGCACTGCACTGCGATCCTCCCTAGCTGCAAGGGACACCAACCAAATTTTGCAGGGTTTGTTACATTGGGCGATGGATTCAGGTACACAAATGCGAGATGAAACCGTGTGGAGAGACCTTGAGCGCTCCGGTGGCAGGGTACTTGTCGCCGAGCCTCGGGTCGATGCATTCCTGAGCTCTGTCTTCAGTCAGCAGCGGAGATGCCTGCAGGTGCATCGGTAGGAGCAGGAGGCCCATCAAACTTTGTTTGAGAACGGAATGGAAAACGCAAATGTGTTTGCCACGGTAACTTAATTCTGTCTTGTTTAGAAGCTAGTTGGATCCTTTGAGAATGTTCTGCATGGGTGGTAATTGCATTGTTCTTTTTTTTAGTACTAGTAAAACTTGTCAATTCTAGTTAGAAGCTATGCAAAGGAAAAAGAACAAGAGATTAACTTGAACTGATGTTATAGTTTGTTTGTTAGATCAGAAAGAAGAAAAAAATGATTAGTCTGCATCAACCATCAAGTGTCTGTTAAACCTTTTCACCAATTGATTATTGGCAATTTCTTAGCTTGGCAAACGGGCAGGATGATTATGGGACTGAGAAGCATTGCTCACCCAGTTGACTAGGCTGCGCTGGCCCTGCGGCAACGTCCGATCCAGCGGCTTCCTGCCCGTCAACAGCTCCAGGAGAACTATGCCGAAGCTGTACACGTCGCTCTTGTCCGTCATCTGACCGCTCATCGCGTACCTGAATGCCCAGTCAAATCAGCATTCAGATTTTCATCAGAAACCAAGCAAATTAAGCAATGGACACGTTCGTCAAATTCGAATACGTGGGCTAGTAATAACAATCAATTAACAAGGACGCCGGCGGCGAGATGAGATGATGTAGGGTTAAGGCACGTACTCCGGCGCCTGGTAGCCGAAGGAGCCGAGCGTGTGCGTGGAGCGGTTGAGTCGCGCCATGTCGGCGGCCTGGCTGAACATGTTGTAGTCGGCGATCTTGGCCCTCATGCCGTCGAAGAGCAGCACGTTGGTGGAGCGCACGTCCTTGTGGACCACCGGCGGCGACGCCTTCTCGTGCAGGTACTCCAGCCCCCTCGCCGCGTCCAGCGCGATCTGCACCCGGTGCGCCCAGCTCAGCACCGGCCTCTCCTCCACCTCCTCCCGCGCCCCCACGCCCTCCCTCGGCCCTGCCATCCATGGCGTCGCGTGTCAGACAGTCAGTGCATAGCTCGAGGTCGATAATGGCGTGGGCTTTTGCAGGTCGTGCGTGCGTACCGTGCAGGGCGTCGTGGAGGGTGCCCATGGTGGCGAACTCGTAGACGAGCACGCGGAGGTCGCCGCTTATGGTGAAGCCGAGCAGGCGGACGAAGCTCTCGTGCCGCAGCCTGGACGCCACGGCCAGCTGCCGGCGGAAGACGTCGTTGGAGGCGTGCTTGGACGCCTTCTCCAGCTTCTTCACCACGGCGAGCCTCGCGCTCCGCAGCGTCACCTTGTACACCTTGGCGTACGACCCCTCCCCGATCAGCTTCTCCCTGTCGAAGGAGCCGGTCAGCTCGTTCACCTCCCGGAGCGCCACCGCCGGCACCTCGATGGCGCCCGGCTCCTCCTCCGCCGCCGGAGCGGCGCCGCGCGATCGTTTCCGCTTCGCTGGACACGACGGAAACAGAATTATATACTCCTACTTGGGAGACAGATGGAGCAGCTGAAGAACTCTGGATGACTGGATCACTTAATTACCGGGCTCCATCGGGTAGGAGTGGAGATCCTCGGGCGCCTTCCTCCCGACGCAGGACAGGCAACCGAGGTTGCCGCCGTCGGCGAACAGGCTCTTGACGCTCTCCCACCACCTCATCGCCGGCCGGCGGCACACACCGCAGAAGAAAGAGAAAGGGCTAGCGCCGGTGCAACTTTGAAGAAAGCTTGAGGCGACTGACTGATTGAGTGACTAGTTGTTGTTGTTGTCGTCGTCGTCGTCGTCTAGTCTTGTATCGCAGGGAATCTATCGACACCGAGCTGCTGAAATTTTCCTGCCTACCGGCCTGTGGACGATATGGCTGCAGCCTGCAGGGAAGCTTACGGCGACATGGGCGGGAAGTAGTGGACGAAGTTCTGAGACTGAGAAGCGATCGAGCAGGCAGGTGATATGTGGTCCAGTCGCTGGGAATAGCGTGACATCTCGCCGCGGACTTCCTTGCGTGAGGGGGCCCCGCCCGGGGAACGTACTGGTAGTACGAGGCAGTTGGACCGAGTCTCGGCTGTAGCAACCTTCGTGCGCCCCCGACGCCAACGGCCAACGCCATGTTCGCTTAGAGCATCTACGCCCGCGGTTAGCAAATCTAGTTCCTTAAACTTGCGCGGACGCGTCTAAATAGTAACCGGGCACGTCTCATATGTTTGCTCCTACAGAAACGTCTTTTATATCCGAAACCTCAAAAACCTATGCAACCCCATGCAACGCTACGTACACGGCGAAGACGCTTAATCCATCCTCCATAGTTTATCGCCGGACAAAATGATCAAAGTTCATCGGTGGACAATGTCAATTCATACTACAAATTTATAAAAACATTAATAAAACATGGATAAACGGAGAAGGGCGGAGGAAATCACCATTTCCTCACCGCACCCTTCCCCTTGCGGTCGCCGGTGCTGCTCTACCCCTCCGTGTACGCGTCAACGTGCGGCAGCGCATCGTCGTCCGAGCAGAAGCTGGAGCCGTCCGTCGGGTCAAAGTTGTCGGAGCACCTTTGTCCTGACAGCCTCCGAACCAGATGGTCCTGTTCCCTCTCATGCCAGGCCGTCTTCGCCTTGGCCGCCGCCCCCTTGGATGCCTCACGCTCCGATAACTAGATTGCGAGCCAGAGTATGTTGCCATTTTGCAACGGAGCCGCCACACATCCATCTTCGCCGTCATGAGGGAGTGGCACACGAGAAGTGCGACCTCGGGATCCACCGACGTGCTCGCGCATTCCCTCCGCGCGGCAAGCACCTCCCTCGCCGCCGCCCTCTTCCTCGCCTATTGGCGCTTTGCCCGTGCCTTAGATTTGGGCGTCCTCATCCGCGCCGGCGTCGGCGCAGGCATGAGGTCCCACCGGTGCCCGGGTACCCCTTCCAGAGCAAATTCAACCTGCGGTGGACGGCGTTGTACCTGGAAGGCCGAGGAAGCAGTGTGGAGCGGCCGGAGCTGTCCAACCGTCGGGACGGCTCGACGACATCGTCGGGGCTGCGTCGATGGGCAACGGGCGCCGCGGAACCGAAGCTGTCACCGTCTTGTTTGAGCAGCGACTGCCTCATAGCAATGCG